AAACCTTAATTTGTTGAGAGACATGATAAAAGGTTAAACTTTGATTGTACTCAAGTCTATTCAGCTGGTGGAATGACTGCACTTAAATCTCAAGGCCTTGTTAGCTTTGAGAGACGAGCAGAGATTGTGAGAAGCAAAAGTAGGGTCATCATTCATTACCAGCCTCTCAGTAGCTCTCATCCTGAAACTTCCCCTGCAGGCTGTGCCTTCAAACACCATGTGCCTTGTTTATTGAAAAAGGGACAAGTTTGAACCGACAAACAGAGGGGAACAAATAGGATCTCAGCGAAGCGCGGAGATTAATCTTTACATCTGTGTTAGAGCACAAAATAAATTGAGCAATGACTTGATGGAGGGAACACAAGGAAGTGCATCTGTCAGTCATCAGTCCTTGGTACAGTGGAATCAGTTTCAGGATTAAATGTGCTATTAAGAGTTATTGTGAATACCCAGACTGCTTGATTGCCTGTCCTTATATATATAGCTATAAATAAACGTGGTATACATAGTTCATGGCCTCTCTTAGTGAATGTGCTTAATGAGATTTTCCTTGGGCAGTGGTTTGTGAAAAGTCACACGATAAGGAATAAGACACACATGTACGAGGTGAACATATGTTTTTGTTCCTTATTTCAGTATCAGTTTAAAATAAGTAATTGATCTTTGATCTTTCCATCCCTCCCTCCATCCATCTTTCTATATATCTATTCGTCTATTGATCTGTCTATCCATCATCCCTCTTTTTATCTGTTAATCCATCCATCATATCAATCCATCCATCAATCCATCCATCCATGTATCTTTCAATATATCTATCTATGGTTCTATAGCTATCCATCCGTCCATCCATCTTTCTATATATTTATCTATCTATTTATTGATCTGTCTGTCAATCTATCCATCCATCCATCCCTCTTTTTATTTGTCCATCTATCCATCATATCAATCTATCGATTGATCCATCCATGTTTCTTTCTAGATATATATATATATTAGGGGTGTCCCCGACTAAGGATTTTCATAGTCAAATCGGAATTTTCGAATCTTGCCGATGTTCGACTGATATGAATATGACTGAATATGTTTTGGGGGCGGGGCAAAATACATTACCAAGAGAAGACATTCGTTATGTTAACAGTCATAATTACGTTAACACAGAGGGAAAATGTGTAACGGACGCCTCGCAAATACAAACGGGGTAAATGATGTTTTATGTTTTGATTAAAAGATAGTTCACATTAAACGTCAGCGAAACCCTAAGAATTCACAAAAAATTTTTACAATAGTGCTCTCATTTTAACGTTATGTATGTGACAGTAGTTATTAATGTTTTGCATTTCTGTTTTGAGCTGCGTGCTGAAGATGACCTGTAGAATGAAGCAGCAGGTTTTTATTCAATGGGTTTTAACTCTTCATTTATCTCATATAGAATACGCTTTGTTATTTATACAACATAACGTTAATATTACACTTATAGGCTATCTGCACAAAATGCCCCGAATGCACATGAACGTGTCTGCGTGGCTCTTAATGAACTCCTTTTGTGGACGCGTTCTTCACGCAACAACGTGCAGAAACACGGCAACTGAACACTAAAAATTCTAAAATTCAGCGTTTTATTATAATAGTGTTCTCATTATAATTGTTATGTATATGACAGTCCCAGTCATTAATATTCTGCATTGTTGTTTGTCCTGCTCGCGCTGAAGAGATAATCACCGTGGTACTACAATGAAGTGATTTACTGCAGCGCAACTCAACCAAATGCATCTTATACTAGATAAATAATATGCACAATATATATAAACCGGCTGAAATGTTTTGAAATCACTCTCTCAAGCCCGCCGGCCACTGCAACGACAAGCCCGCCCGCCCAGTTCACCCCTAATCAGAAGAGGAGATTTTTTTTAATAATCTGTTTCTTACTATGTGTCAGTAAGTTGTTGTTATTTTAGCATGTGTGTTTGCCTCAGTGTTATTTTTTTAGGATTAGTGATGAACTAATGTACTTTGATTTGTATTAGTTATCTATTTTAGTTTTAGTTACAGTTGTAGTAATGTTGTCATTTTATCAGAGCTCGCTCCAGTGTTGGCTCCAGCCCCAAAGCTCGCTTCAGTGTCGGCTCCAGCCCCAGAGCTCGCTCCAGTGTCGGCTCCAGCCCCAAAGCTCAAAGCTAAATTTCCTCAAGTAATGAGGGGGGGTGTAGTAGGGCTCCAGCCGTAAGGCCGTGCTGGGGCTGTGGCCTCGGAGGCGGCTCTGCCATGGCTTCCTAGTCTGCCTGCTTCGCCATGGCCCCCTGAACTGTCTGATCTGCCATGGCGTCCTGGACTGCCTGATCTGCCATGGGTCCCGAAACGGGCGCCACCCTGGAGGCCTTCCGTCCTGGATCCCTGCTCCTAGAGGCCCCCCCTCCCCGTTGGTTGTTGTATAGCGCGGGACACACCTTCCGGGAGGGGGAAGTAATGTCAGACTCTGTTCCTTGTTTTGTGTGTGTTTTGCTCTCCATGTGCCTTCCTTGCCCTTATTTGGACCTTCCTGCTCCTGTCCCCATTTAGTTCTATTAGTTCCAGGTCTTCCTTGTTATTAGTTATCCTCCTCACCTGTCTGCCCCTCGTTATCTGCCCTATTTGAGTTCTAGCCCGTTCTGTTCTCCCTTGTCCGGAATTGTATATGTCTACCCTTGCTACGTGTGTTTCCTTGTTCCCTGGACGTGATTAAAATCTATATGTTTGAATTCCACTCCTCGTCTCCTCGCTCCTTCGTCTCCTTGCTCCTCACAGTAGCCGATTCATGACAATAGGGATGGTTGGATTTATTCACGCACCTTAAAATATTTATTTGAAGCTTCTTTCTTTTCAGATTCTTATTTATAGCATTATTTTAATAGGCTATATATTAACTTATTCGGAGAAAACCAGTAGTTCTATGAGAAATCAGACATTTGAGCACCCCCATATAGCCAAAATGGCAGGATCATAACACCCCGCGAATATTCAACTGTGATTTTGGTAGTCGAATCAGGCTACTCCTATATATATCGCTCTATCTAGCTATCCATCCGTCAATCCTACTTTCTATATATCTGTCTATACCTCAAATCATCCATCCATCCATATATCTATCTATCTAGCTACCATCATCCATCCATCCTTCTATATATCTGTCTATTAATCTGTCCATCCATCCACGCCTCTTTTTATCTGTCCATCCATACACCACACATCAATAATGTTTACAATTGAAATAAATATTTCTGAATTTAAGGCTGAATTTATTTGATCAAAAACAAATGTGGTTAATTCTTGGGATGGCAAAACTAAATTTTCAGCAAGCATTACTCCAGTCTCCAGTGTCACATGACCCATTAGAAATCATTCTAATATGCTGATTTGGTACTCAAGAAATATTTCACTTTATTATCAATGTCAAAAACAGTTAATACTTAATATTTTATGGAAACCATAAATGTATATGCTTAAAGGCTCATCCTATAGATCTGTAAGTTCTGAAAAGGATGGTTACCAGTCATTTTTGCATACAGAGAGGCTGTACATCAAACTAAAATACACAGTATGTTTATTTTCTTAAAACTGCCCTTAATAAGACATTCTGAAGTTTAAATGTAAACAAACATTTCCACTGAAGAGCTGTGAACCCATGCTGCCCTTTTCCTCCACATCACTCCCTGTGATGAAAGAGGCTAACAATGTCTGCATTTTTCTCTTTTCTCCAGCATTCAGAGGGGCAATTTAAGTACTCTATCCTTAAAAGGCTCATTCCATAGTGTATGTCGATCTGCCATAGCAGTGTGTGGACGAATTTGCAATGCTTTCACCTCACCGGGTGGAATTCTGATTGAAAACGGAGATGGAGGAGCCCTCTTCTCTCTAACCTCTGACAGTTCGTGGAATGCAGTTTCACACTCAGCTACAAATTACTGAGATAAGTCTGAAGCAATGCTCTCCTCATGCAACTCCTGTCTTGTCTGTAGGGAATTATTGTTATTGACCTTTTCACGGGACAAAACCGGGACATTGGCAAATCACAAGCCATCTATCTTACCTTTTACCTCCATCGCCAAAAGATGACCTGAAGACCACAGTAAGTACATTGTTGAGTCTCTAGGTTTCTCACATATTCTAAAAATAAAACAAAGTAGACAAAAACAAAGTAAACATTAAAAATAAATGAACATGAAACATTAAAAATGAATGAATAAAATAGATTTAATAGCATATATTTCATATTCTTTTGTGGATTGGTAAATATTTTATTAATTGTTTAAATAATTTACTGTTGTTATTTTTTTTCTTAGCATTCTTCTGCCGGGAAACTATTTGGTAATTTAGGATTCATATTTTAGATTTAAATTATTTTGTGTTCCACAAAAGTATGAGAGAACGTCATGGGTGTGTAACAACATTAGGTTGAATAAATGATAGCAGAATTGTCAGAACTATCCCTGTACATTTGGCTCAGTTTTGCATTTGATACAGTTAAGCACCTGCTATTTAGCAACTGTTTTTTGTGACAATTTTGTAAAAATCTTCCATGCATTATTCTGTTGTTTACCATAGCCTATTTTTATGCCACCAAGAAAAAACACATAATTCCCATTTTAAAAAATGCAGTATCCAGTATGGTTAATTAAATCCACTTTGATAGAGCAAAATAGGTTGCATTCTATTTGTTTGACATTTTATTTCCCCTTGTATTTGCGTGAGGACGTGCAGTAGGTGAAAGGACTGTGCGATTACTGCGATGCCGCACACATCCGCTTTGTACTCATATAATGAGCCTGGTGAGGGGAAACAAAACCCGCCATTGAATACCGGTAACCATTGTCGAGTTTACAATAATTCCTAATCCGAATAACCCCGGCAGCCCATGAGGACATTTTCCGAGCGCACCATCTGCTGTTTGTGATTTGCAGCGGCACCAGACTGAATAAAGTGCTCGCACTAGTTTATGCCCACGTATCCAGCGCGCTCCACATACGCTAGCTCTGGCGGATGAATTCATGTTGTGCGTGCCTCGGCTCTTGTCACTCATTCGCTGTGCTGCTCGGAGCGCATTCTGTGTCAACGGCTGAGGACCAATTCATGATATCACATCAACCTGAAACAGGGACAAAGCATCGTAGTCATTTAAATAATAACTGAACCAACTCTCTCTACCTATTCTACACGGAGCATACCTTTGGAAGCGATTGCAATGCTTCAGATAAGGGATCTCATTTGGACATGGCTTTTCTTTGGATATGCAGGTAAGATGCACTTGTATCAGTTGCACTGTGTTAGACTGTATCCTTTCGCATCCTTGTTTGTCCTGGCGCGTTGTCGCCAAAGCACAGAAGCAGTTATAGCGAGCTTGAGGATGAGGATGCGAGGTAGTTTGAGCTGGTTCATTCAGTGATCCAGCTTTGCAAACTGCCTCGGTTTATATCTATCCGTCCCTTTCATTTAAACAAACTCTGTTATTTTCATCCCTGCCAAACTGGCACATGTTACCAAACTGGCACCGGTTAGGTGGGATATGAAGTCTCGCATCCCTGTGTAGAAACAAACCGCACTTCTAGGAGTGATATTTGACATTTTAAGAGCGCGAAATTGCGTTGTTTATGGTTGTGTGGACATTACTGCGCATTGGCTCCTTTGAGATTTGTGTTGGGGGACAGGAAAAACAACCATCTGGTGTGTCGTGTAAACATATCGCCAACTAAGCCGTCACAATAACCAGCCAAAGTTTATTGTGTGGTGCTTTTAATGTGCGTGTTTTCATCCGTGTGTTGTTCATATTCTGGATGGTCACGGTAGTGCTGGCGCAGCTGAGAGCGCGCGTGTTGAGCGATTGGAACATCTCTGCATTGCCCTTGAATTAGTTTATCCTTGTTATTGTTTGAGTAATACTTCAACGCGAAATTAAAAATATATCATTTGTTCACCCTTATGTTGTTTCGAACCTTTCTGTGACTTACTTTCTTCAAGAAGATGCAGTCAGAGTGATAGACTCAGTCACCATTTACTCTCATTGTATGGAAAGAGATGCAATGGAAGTGAACGGTGACTAAGGCTGTCTGTCTCTAACCTTTTGCCTGTGCCTTTGTATCCCACTAAAGAAATAGTAAGTCAAACGGGTTTAGAAAAGCAATGAGTGTGAGTAAATGCATGAACCGTCCCATTAAAGACTGAATTTACACTTCTCATGCATTTATAATGAATATCCAGGCTGTTTACAAGCAGCCAATTAGAAAACGAAGCGAAAGTGTGATTTATGAGTGCTGTGCATAAATAAGAATGATAAATGGAACTGTTCCAAAAATGTTTCATGTGATTATTCGGGAAATGATTCGAATGCATGGATGATCATTTCCAGCCAATCAGAGAGTAAGACTTGGGCGGGAATTAATTGTATTCTCTCACCCCCTCCCCCTCCCCTCCTCTCCTCTCCTCCCCCCTCCCCCCACCTCTCTTTCTCATGGCAAAACAGAAGCTTATATTGCCAAAGCATTAACATTATACTTGTGCACATATACACAGCATTAAATATGTCTATAGGATAAAAAAAAGAAATTAATAATAATGCAAATAGTTATTAATCTTATAATATTTACCCAGATGTTAATGGGTTTTTAATGAGATCAACATATCTGCAGTGGTTTAGACAAATATGTAATAGAGATATGTAAGCATATGTGTGTGTGTTTATAAATGTATGCACATTATGGATATATACTTGTCTCAGATTGTATATTATATTTACACATAAGTGCATGGTGAAATGGAGTGGTGTTGTACAGTGATAGACATTAGTGGTTATGATTTGTATGCGTGATGCAGAGGGATGATGTTATTTTCTAGTCGGTGGTCCTGTCCCACTGGTTGCCCTTTTGTCGTGGCAGGACTTCACAAACCTCGCAGCTGGTTTGAGCAGGTTTGAGGTTCCTCCTAGCAGGTGTGGGAGTTTGTCCTGGTGTGTTTGGCAGGTTATAGAATGTGTCCTTAATTTGCGTGTAATTAGGGCAGGATGTTAAAAAGTGCAGGTATGTGAGTTTGTACATGTGTCCTATTTAAAGAGTGATGGAGTTTGTGAGTTCATGTCTAGTGTGTTTGCTTTTATATACAGTACAGTTATTGTTAGATGAAATCTTTGGAAGTTTATCCAACTTAAAGTAGTCAGGACAGGGGGCTTTAAATACTGTACATGTCCCTGACCTCAAGAGGAGGGCAAAGTAGTAGATGAATTAACACTTGAAGGAAAATAAAGAAACAATTGCAAGATGGTGAACATCTGGAACTCCTCTGTCTGTGGCAAGTTCAAAGCTAGTATGAAAGTACTGGAAGAGAGTAAAATTACTTGGATCTCCATCTTTTGGCTGAGTAACAGTAACCATGTGATAAAAGAAAAAAAAGAAGAAGAAAAAAATATAGGCCTACTATAATTTGGTGCAGACATTCGTTCATATTTCAGGTGCAGCTTTCTGTTTTAACATTATTAGTGTTTTTGTTAGTTTTTAAAGATGTCATGAAGTTCAGTGCTCAGTTTTTTCAAATTATTATTATTATTATTATTTTTTTGGTTCACAGACAAACCATAATTACTGATTTTAACTCAAGGACGATTCTTCTTAATGTCACATAAATGAATGACAGGCTCTCTACATTTTTTTTTTTTTTTTTTTTTTCTCAGAGAATGTTTGCCTCCTGATTAATTATATGCTTTCATGCTGTACTGTTCACACTGTGACTCCTTCTTGTAAAAATGTATTAATTTTGTTTTGCGCAAGCTGACTGAAATCCAATCGTCCCAAATGTTCTCCAGTTGTTTTCCGTTTTGTGCTGTTTGATATAGATGGGCCGTCTATGCATATTAATCACTCTCTGAAAGGGGGCTCAGGCTGATTTGCATTGTGTAAGCTGCGAAGGCGTCCTGTAGAGTGTTGGAGGGAGGAAAAAAAAAGGAGGGAAATGGGTTTGGTTTTGTCATGCTGAAAAGCCACCCCCTGATCCCTGCAACCCATCTCTGAAAGGATTTCTCCTAATTCAAGTAAAAGGGCCTCCTAAAGTTGCAGGCCGAGAGGCAACTTCGAGAAGTGTAAACATTGTCTTACATCCTCCACATTTAAACCAGAAACACAACTTTCTGCCTCTCTTCCTCTTTGCTTTGCTGGCTCATGGAAAATTCAAGTATGTCATTTCTGCACCACTAATGGCACCAAACAGAACTGTAAAAATAATGACTGATTTCAGACAACCTTGCTTATCTGCTATTGCTCAGATAAATACATGCCCCAAACTCATGCCACTGTTTGAGTCAAGTACATGCACAGTTATAATCAAGGGCTTTGCATTGTTGAGACATGATGACATTTTCAATGTAAATCTTTTGAAGTATTAAATGCAGAACTAAAGTGCCCAGAACTGAATGCATTAGCAAAGATGACAGATTTTAATTCACATACTTCCAGGGGAGCCTGCGCTAGACGAGAAACTGCCATTGAGATGAATGGGGACGCTAATGCATGGCTTTCACCCAGTATTATAGACCTCCTCTGGCTCAAATAAACAGATTGCAGTTCCCTTTGGTGTCTCCAGGGGCGCAGAAATTACACCCTTCACCTTTAAGGTGCAGCTTGAAAGGCCCTTAATCCCATTGAATGACTCATTTGTTATGTTGTAATGCGTAGCAATGGTTGTGACATCATCCAATAGTTACTGGATATAGACTACTGCGTTTGAATGTATCACTGTTGGTTCCTCTGCATCATGCATTATTTTTAATGTTTGTAATATAATAATGCATTTGGCTGAACTTTAAACGTTTTTCTAGCTATTCTGTAGGCTTTTGTTATGGTAATAACATTCAGATGCTGAAGTCCAGAGACGTTTGTCTCCAAGATTCAACTTTATTGTACCCCACTTCAAGGAATTTGGAGTAGATTTCCGGGTAAAACCACCAAAAACAAAGTCTGCGCATACTTTGAGTTCCTTACCACACTGTGTTCAAACAAGAGCAGCCCAAAGCACTTTCATAAGGTTACTGTTTCCCTCCACTAAGCGGAATAATTATAGGACTATTTTCACAGCTTTATTCATTCAGAGTCAATAATTTTAGTGAATGTCATGATGAAATGAGATAAAAGTGTTGTGCTAATTTTGTCATGCCAAATGACTGCCAAAAGCAGAGTTTCAGAAGGTAATATGTGATGGCAACCTATCTTAATCGACTTGATTTAAGCAGTTAGTAGCTCAAAATATTACCTGATTGTAGCATAATAGTTTGTACGTGATCATATTACATTTCTGCAGTTTCTTTGCTTTGCCAGAACCGCTGTCATGTGTTAGCTAATAGTTCTTGTGTAAAGATGATGCAGCAGCAAGCGAACACGCTGGTACTGTGTTGTGGTGAGATGGAATACTGTATAGCTAGCATGTGTGAGCACAATGAAAAGCACCAGCATATTGAAATGAGTGCAAAACCTTGACATTAAATTGAACTGTGTTTTATGTTGTCACATTTCAGTTTTTTAGCATTGATAATAATAAGAAATGTTTCTGAATGATTACGTGATACTGAACACTGGAGAAATGGCTGCTGAAAATTCAGCTTTGCCATCAGAGGAAATAGATTTCCGTAAACAACACTTTAAAAAATCCTACGTTTTCTTTAAAAAAGAAAAAGAAAAATCAACTGCTGGATGCTACAACTTGTAAGAATTCAAGTTCATTCTTAGAGAGCTGTAGGATTTTACGTTTGGGAACTACAACTGAATGTTCTTTTCCAGTTTGACTGGAAAATACTATGCCTCAAAGATGTCTCTAAATCACAACATTTAACCAATGTTGATGATGAAATGCTTGCCTGTGGAGGACCCAGTCCTTTTAGTTGGAGCCTGTGAGTTCATGTTCAAAAAGAACATTATGGAATCCCTGCAAGCACTGGCCTAAATTTGAAGAATAATAAAAGAAAAGACAAAAGAATGAGTACGGGGGGTTGGATGGCTAAAGTACAAGAGCAAATACAAAGACAGTAAGCATGGCTTAAAGTCCAAAAAAAGCTGCGTTATGTGAATATTTTTAGCACATTTCTGTCTTAAATTTCATTGGAGATCTAAAAATATTTTTCAGCAGTCTATCTTGCTGTGTTTCTTGTCTGGTTGAGTGCTTTTAGTTTGGACAAGACTGCTTGTATGTCTCCCACTGCTTATCAAACACCGTATTACATCTGATTCTGCCACAGGCATGCTGATGTAATCAGATCAGACAA